TCAGCCGCTCCGCGCGGTACAGCACGGTGAGCATGTTGGTCAGGCCGTTGTTGCACAGGTAGAAGCTGCGGTCCTGCGGCTGCGTGTCCGGCCGCTGCAGAAACGGAAACACGTGCTGGAAGTACTTGCCAAAGGCAATGTCCAGGTCACGCAGCGTCGCCGTGCACGCGCGCACCAGCACCTCGGGCCGCTCTGCCGGCGACGGTGCCGCTGCCAGCGCGTCCACGCACGCCCACGTGCCGGCCGCAAGCGTGAAGGCGTGTGTCATGGGCACGACTGCAATCATGCGCCGCATGCCCACGCCGGAAATCAGCTCCAGCAGCGTGGCGGCGTGGCGGCGCAGGAAGTGGTGCACGCGCACGTCCTCAAACACGGGGATGACATTGGTGATGAAGGACGTCTCCTGGTCCACGCCACCAGGCACGCGCAGGCGCGCTGCGTCGCCCAACGGTGAGCCGCCGATGCCGCTACCGCCGCTGTTGGCGGCAGCAAACAGCTCGTGCTCGGTCATGTCGGCGACGGTGATGAAGCAGCCGGGGTAGATGTTGTCCACGCGCCACGTCATCGGATCTGGGTAGTCGCCAACCTGGCCTTTGCAGGCCATGCCGACGATGCCAACGGCACGCAGCAGCTCGGGAACCGCCATCTCATGCAAAACACCGCTGCCGTCATCATCATCATCACCATCACCATCGCCATCAGCCTTGAAGAAGGCTGCCAGGTCACGTAGCGCACCCACGGTTGTCTCCTGCGAGATGAACGACACGGCGTGTGTGCTGTCGTCCACCGCGTCCAGCTCGTGAATGCTGCTGGCAATGGCTGCAATTTCCTCGCGCACGGCCCGCGTCATCTCATCACCGGTTGGGCCCTTTGCTGCGCGGCGGGCAAGGCCGCGTGCGTTCTTGGAGGCGTCGGTCTCCCGCAGGTACGCGGCCTGCTGTGCGGCGTTGAGCTGCGACACCCGCTCGTCGTTTGCCAGCTCAAGCAGGCGGTTTACAAGCGACTTCTTGCGCTGCTCAATCTGCCGCTTCAGCTGCCGCAGCCGCATCATCGTGGAAGGCGACGACGCTGTCGTTGCTGTTGTTGTGGTGCTGGCGCCGTTGGCAGCCTGTGCCGCAGCTTCCTCCTCCTCTTGCTGCTGCTGCTTCCTGGTGGCGATGGCGGTGAGCGTGGATTGCAGCTGGTCAAAGTACGCGGCGATTGTCTGCACCTCCTGCTGCGCCTGCGTGGTGTCGAGCACCTTGAGCACGCGGATGTGCGCCATGGCCTGGTCGATCACGGGCGCCATCCACCTGTCAAAGGTGTCTGGCGTGATGGGGTCAGCTTCCTTGATGACGACACGCGTGTCTGCGCTCGCGGCGATGCGCAGCGGCGCTGATGCTGAAGGGAGGGCGCTCAGCCAGAACGAGCACGTGTACGCCACGTCCCCATCGTTGCCCTCGTCGGCCGCATGCGCTTGCGGCTGCTTGCTCTTCTTCTGCTTGGGTTTCTTGTGCTGGTCTGAGGAAGGCAGGGTGAGCAGCATGGAGGCTTGTGGCTCGTCCCAGGGCATGCGCTTGAAGATGGGGCTGCCGTCGTCGCACTGGAGCTCCATGGTCGCGTCCATGCCGTCATCCTGAAACAGGCCGACCACCATGTCCACAAAGTCGCTGTTCGAGCCGGTCCTTGCGTCAAAGTCGATCAGGGACGCCGTGCCGCCGGTGTTGAACTGCAGCACAGCGGAGAGGCCGCGCGTGTCTGGCTGCTGCGAGGAGGTGAAGTAGCGGATGGCCTTGCTGTTGATGACGCGGCCCTGCTTCACGTCTGCGGCGTGTTGGCTGGCGTAGATTGCCGCAGCGTCGCGGTCGCTCATCATGCCGTCCGAGATGGTGAGCACGCGGATGCGCTGGTCTTTGCTCTGCCGCAGCACGTCCAGCAGCGCCATTGTCGCTGGTTTGAAGTTGGTGCAGCCCTGTGCGCGCAGGGGAGAAACGCGCATTCGCTCCACCGTCATCTCTGGCATCACGGCGGTCGTGGTGTCGAAGGCGATCACCGTCGCCCAAGTGTATGAAAGGCGCTCCAGGATGTCGGGCAGCAGCTTGGTGACGATTCGCTTCACTTCGCCGTGCATGGACCCAGAGCGGTCCAGCACAACGACAAACGGTGGCCGTGACGACGATGCCACGCTAGTACCACTGCTGTTGGTGCTGCTGCTGGTCTTGGTGGTGTTGCTGCTGGTTGGTGGCGATTGCCGCAGCTTGGCGAGCTGCTGCTTGCTCAAGTTCAGGTTGCACAAGAACGTGCCGTCCATGTGCCGGTGCGCGTGCACCACAAGCTCATCATCAGCCATCTTGGCCTTGTGCTTTGTGCTTTGTGGAGTGCTCAGGCGTGGATGCTTTGCTGCTTCGAACGAGAACGAGCGATCGATCGAGATCGAGGGTAAATGACAGTCACACATCACGGCTGCCTGCACACTGCCAACCACCACTTCTTGGGGTTGGTTGGTAACCGGCGGACACAGAGTTACATTGTGGCTGAGTCAGCAGTTTTATTGTGCACACGTCAGCGAAAAAACACAAACATCCAAGAAGAAGCAGCAGTTGCCGCGCGCCTCATTTGAACCGGTCCAGTGCTCCGTGCTTGCCACCAGCCCCTGTGTTGTGTTGCGTTGTGTTGTGGTGTGTTGTGTGTAAGGAAGGAAGGCAGGAAAGGGGCAAGTGTCACGACAAGCACGCAAACAAACGAACAAACAAACAAGCAAACCAAGCAACAACTTACGCAGTTCCTTGCGCCGCTGTTCCTTCTCCATGCGTTGCATAATCTGCACCTTCCGCTGGTCGCGGATGTTCTTGTTCTTCGCAAGATACCGCTTCTCCACCTTGCGTTTCCGCGCGCGCTTGCGCTTGGCATCTGCGCTCTGCTCGGCGTTTTTTCCGCCATCATCATCATCATTGTCATCACCAGCATCGCCCTGCATGCGCGACGACACGGGCTTGAGCACCTCCCGCGGATCCAGCGAAATAAGATCGTGCGGAATCTGCACAAACACACCCACACAACAACAACGACAACAACAACAACAACAACAATGAGGCACGTGTCATTGCGTGAGAAAGATGGGACGTGGTCGAGTGAGTGAAGCGAACGTGTGCTCATGCGTATGTGTGTGGTTATGTGTGCGTGTAAGCGTGCTCACGTGGGTGGTTATGTATGGGTGCGAACACACAGTTTTGTGCGAATGTGTGCAAGTTGCGGTGCGCCATCGCATCGATCGCCCATGCCATCAACCAAGAGTCCGCCAGACCTTGTCGAGGAGCTGCTTGACTTCATGCTCGCGGCGCTGCTTGACCGTCTCGTACGGATTCGCCTCGTACGCATCAAAGTTCGGCTCACCAGATCCTGGCAGGTGCGTTGCAGGGCCCCGTGGCATTCGCAGTGAGGCGGAGAGAATGGGGAGGTGGAGAGCACGCGGGAGACGAAGAAAGTTGGGACGTTGTACAGCGAGGTGGACAAGCGTGACACGAAACACAAAGGTGGGGGTCACAAGCATCCGCACGCACACGTGTGCATGCGGATAGTGCTCCAAACACGCGCAAAGCACGCGCAAAGCACGCGCAAACAACCGCACCTGGAACGAGGATGCTGTCGATGCCCTTTTCGTGTCCGGTGACAAGCACATCCTCAAAGGGGCAGAACCGGCAGTCCTGCACAGGCGACGCAGGTATGTCGTGCTGCATGTATGGTGCCCTGGCCTTGTGCTTGTGCGGCTCGCGCCAAATCTGTTCGTGCCAACAACAAAATAACAGCAGTGGATGAAGCCGTTGTTGGTTCGTAAGAACGATGTGTGTGTGTGTGTGTGCGTGTGTGGGTGTGCATGTGTACGTGAGTGTGTGCGTGCATGTGCGCGCGCGCGTGTATGTATGCGCATGTGGACGAGGTTCGCTGTTCTCCCTCTCCACGACCACAACCACAACCACAACCACAACCACAACCACAACCACGACGATAACCACGTCCTTCTCAAGACACTTCTGCTTCCTCCGATCGGACAATGATCTGACCTGAACGTGGGGCCCAAATGCAACGGCCAGGCAGCCGCGAGCACTGAAGTCAAGATATGAGGCAGGGGTTGGCGTGTAGTACGAGTGCAGCTGTTGTTGCGCACGGCAGTCGGTGGAAAATACAACAAGGGGAGCGTGTGTGTGTGTGTTGTGGGGGGGGGATACGGTGAGTAGCTGTTGTGCACGATGTGGGTTGGGCGTAGATAGGGGGAATGAAGCACACACAAACACACACACACACACACAAACACACACACACACACACACAAACACACATACTCCATACTTCATGCAATACATAGCACGCATGCAACTAGCGGGGCACATGTGGTTACGCGTACCGGCTTGTCCTTGAAATTCCGCACGTCCCAGACCTGTGATGTAGAGAAGACGGAACAACACAATCACGCAGCAGCAGCAGCAGCAGCAGCAGCAGCAGCAGCAGCAGCAGCAGCGGCGGCGGCGGCAAACACACAAGTACGCACATGTGAGACATGACACGAATGGCTACACCTCGCATGCGAACACGTACGCATGCTTCTTCTCTCCACATGCAAGAACGCAAGAACGCAAGTGTGCGAATGTGCAAGTTTGCAAGTGTACAATGTGAGCGTGTGTGCAAACCCCCCATCCCCCAACATCTAAACACGCCACGAGCGGCGGTGGCAGCGGGCATCATCACCTTGATCAGGCTGTCGACGCCGGCCGTCACCATCGTGTGGCCCGTGCCATCCACCGCCAACGCTGCAGAAGCAATTCATGCACGAACACACACATACACACGCGCACGAGTGTGAATCAGAATGTTGCAGGAATGCGGACAACCCACATCGATAGCACGCAGCCAAACGCATGCACAAACACACACACACACACACACACACAACAAACAACATACACACACACACACACACACACACACACACACACACACACACACACACACACACACACACACAC